TGTGGTTGTAAGCCGCCCTGAGTCCCCTCAGGGAAAAGGGCGGCATATAAATCCCAATAAACCTAAACCTAAACCTGAATATTATATTCAAAGATCCAATTTATGAAATTAATGGACCCTTCATATACATATTGCAACTATTCCTTCTTTTACTATAAAATACTCTTACGTGAGTATATATTTACACTTCTCCCTTCTTTCCAACATAAATAGCAAAAAAGAAAAAAAAGGAGAAGAGGAAGGAAAGGCAAAAAATAGAATATAAATGAGTTAAATGGAAGGATAGCTATATTAGGAAAGGAAAGGGAAGGAAAAAAAGAATAGAGAGAAGAAAGCTGAATGGAATTGGGACAAATAGAGGTATGTAATAAGGAGAGTAAGAAAAAAAACAAAGGAGTTTTTTTTAGATATTACAACAAATACTAACTTCATAGGCAAACAGTCTTTTCCACCCAATGGCTACTCTTCACCCGTTTGTTTATGTTCAATGTCTCATCTATTTTTCTCAGCAACTCTTAAGATAATCTTTACTCTCTCTTCCCCCAATTCACAGTTAATTATTGAGATGTCTGCAATGCCTGGTCCCAAAAGTCAAAATGGCAGCTGTCATGAGGCAAATCTAAGTGACAGATTTACCTCATGACTATCTAAAAATCCAGATGGAGTTTCTGCAGACATCCCTGCATAATTATTTGTGGGGAAGGGGGAAGTCATATTCCAATTGGGTAAACGGTACGTGGGTGCCTTTTCAATGTAAAATTTTGAATCATTATGGTAACATTGCAGAGTTGGGGGCAATCATAGCAAACACTTCAAGTGTTGTACAATAACAATAAACAGGAAACATTAGCACCTATGTGAAATGGGGAAGTATTGCAGAAATGGAACATGGCAGAAAAAAGCCCTTACTGAATGCAGACATGGAAAGCCTGCATTAAGAATTCACTCCCCATAAATGTTTGCGAAGACAATAATTCATTTTCCTATTCAATTATTAAAAAGGGACAATCCCTTTATTGAACATTAAGAGGCATTCAGACTGTACTTCCTTTGAAAAAAATTATGTTTGTGATTTCTGTCTTGATTAGTGATGTATGAAAATCACATTTTAGAAGATATTATTATATTTGGGAAGAATATGCCCTCAATCCCTGTCTTTTCCTTGTCTGGTGAATCAACTTTAAAGTTTTTTTAAAAGATTTTAATTGGCTTTATTTTTTTAAAAAGAAAAGGCTACAAAAGTTTTCATATGACGACATGCTGACATATCAGATTAGGAGATTAATATGAATATAAATACTGGATTTCTATCCCTTTCATTCAAATTGGATTGATGAATTTTGATTGTTTAGTAGAACTTGAAATCCATCCATATTGTTCTGGAATTCATTAATAATTGTTCCTGTTTATTTATCCTTGTGCTCATTTATTACGGTACCTTTTGCTCTTGATGGAGAAGATGGAGAAGAGGTTGTAATGGGCTTCCTAAGGGTTGAATAGGAGCTCTGGGTATCTGTACGACCAAGAGTGTATCGATTTACATTCTGATCAGTGTGGACTTTTGGCTGAATTACTGTAGGCTCTGACTTCCTTCGTTTTCTGTAATCACTTGAAGTACTTGCAGAACTGGGGAAGAAAATAGTAATGTAGCAAAGACATGTCTAAAATGACTTCTTAAAGTCAGCAAATAATTAAGCTCATTAGCCATTGCTAACATAACTAAATACAGTATCAATAAAAAGGCAAAGACTTCCCTATCCAATCGTGTCTGACTCTAAGTTGCAGAGCTTATCTCCAATTCTTAGCTGANGGCCTAGTGGAGGTAATTGATAATAAAGGGAAAGAGAACACTTGATTCTTCCAGCTCCAGGGGCCACACACTCAGGACACTGATAGGCAGATCATTTTCCTGCTGTTATATGATATGGAGATGGAAGGATGTCCTAGAATTCTTCAATCATTGCTCATTGCTCTGGGTCGGTAGCAACACTGGTCTGTCCTGTTTCTGAGTGCTCTACCAATGTACTTTCCTTCAATGGAAGGACAGAAAGAAGTGTCCCTAGTATGTAACTCAGAATTTCTCTGGATTCTATTGCATATTCTCCCAAGTGAACAATTCTAAAAACTGGGAGAAGGATTTTCCTTAATACTCACACATTTCCCTGTGATTAAGTCTTGATTCATTACTTTGGCCATACTGAATTTGTTATGTACTCTGGTCTGTTACAATTAGCTAATGATGATGATGATGATGAGTAGGATCATTGAGTAGTATCAATATAGAGTTCTTGGTGTTCTCTGAACTTGGTTGTTTTCTTGCAGATGTTTCATTACCATCATCAGACCAACAAGATTCAGTTTGCTAGCTATTTACAGTATATATAGTAGCTTGCACCATCAATCTTAGTGTAGATATTCCTTAATGGTCCTTGCATTAGGATATTATTTTCTTTCCCTGATTGTTTAATTGGTGCTGTTTTCCAATATACCACTCCACCTTTCACTGATAATCTAGCTTGGGGGGAAATGTCTGTGAGGAAACAAACTCAGAGAACACCAAGAATCCAAAATTCCAACTCTGAGCTACATATAGTATCTTCTATTAACAATACATATCACAAGTATAATTTCAACATGTGCTGAGTTATGGCACAAATGAAAAGTTCTCCACTTTTACATAACCCACATTGTAAATACAGTATATCTTAAGAAAAAGAAGCTTGCCAATGTATAAACTAGAGTCTTTCCTGATCTAACACTCTCCATTTGTGTTACTAATTGTCAGCTAGCATCTGAAGAATATGAAGTTAGGGAAGGCTATTCTAATTTATGGCATATGTAATATGACAAAATACAACTTCAAATATTACTATCAGAATGTAACATTATAAAATAACAACAGTAACAAAAACAACTATAACAACAATCCATTTCAACATTTACCATATAAACCAACCAAGACAAAGCCTTTTGAATAATATTTACCATGTTCAAAAGTAAGCAATTCCAAAATGCTATATATTTAACCTTAGAATTAAAATATTTAGAAACAATTATTGCTTCCATATTAAGCAGCATAGACCATACTGATTGAATTAGAATCAGTTGGTTTAGATCAAGATGTGGCAATCACAATTCAAACAGCCTGCATATATATTTCTATAAACATACAGTAGTTACTCCATGAATTAAATACTTGTGAGCAGACATAGCAAAAGATACTCTTTGGGTTACTGGAATGGTTAGCAATAAGTATTAAGATGTAAGATTGCAGCCTCATTAAACATGCTTTTCATTAATTTAATTCCTAGTTTTCAAAAATCTTAATGAGGAATTTTAGTTATCTGTTAGTTTGCACTGTGTATTATATTTAAAATATCAGTAATAACAACATTTGTGGATTTTGGAACAAAGATTTTATTCACATGTGTAACAACTCTCATGTTACTTGTATATGTGCTGATGAAATTACAAGGATAGTGAAAAAAATCCACTCATTTCCACATTGGGTTTAGAAGCTTGTAAATATTATAATTTAAGCAACAAAAATAAATGTGCGTATTTATTTTCACTGAATCCCCAATCCCCAAAATAAAAATACTGTATCAACATAAGGAAACATTTCTCCCCTCTTTATTCTATATTAAACTTTGAGTTAAACAATATCTCTAAGAAAAGGAACCCAGTATTAGGAATTTATTATTGGGATGGGGGTAATTTATTACTTATTATTGGTGATCCCTGAGTCAAGAACAGGTGCCCACCATCTTCCTGGCACCTTCTTCAATGGCTCGGCTATTATGGATGCTAGAAGACATCTGTGAAAACTATTGGACAACTTCAAAGAGGAAACAAAAAAAATGTGCTCAACAGCAAGTTGTTTGGATAAGTCTTTAGGGTATTTTCTTGCCCTGGGTATGAGAAAATACCTTAAAGGCAAATGCACCCATCTGATCATCAGTTGCATGACAGTGCAAGAGATCAAGGCAAGCCATAGTCAACCATGAGGCAAAGCAGATATACTGCAGACTCATAGTTTCCAATCTTGGAGACGTCTCTTGAACAAAATGCTCGTCTTGTCATTCTTAAAAGCATCTTATTACACTTAACAAAAGCATGCTAGAATTAAAGAATAAATATTTTACAGAATTATTTATTATATATAAAAATGGATCAACTTTACTCACTGGTCTTTCATGTTCAAGGATTGAAGACTTTCCTGGTTCATATTCAAAAATGCTTCTTGGTTCTGAACGGAATTTGCGAGTATCTACTTTTCTATCAGGAGGCTCCCACTCATTTCTAAAAATAAAAATAAATTGACAAGTGATCTAACACCCAATGCATGCATCACAGAGTTTTCTAAGAACAAATTAATGGATTTTAAAATAAAATAAAACTGCAACAAAAATTTCCATCACAATAGTGATTCTCCTGATTTTGAATGGAATTTCTAAGATTACCACAAAAAAAATTACATTCCATATCAAAATAAGTAATAATGTTATAATTAAAATCAAAAGGCAAAAAGCTACTGTTTTTACTAAATAAAAACTGAAAGCTGGATGAGTAAGATTTATCTATCTAGGTTTGAGTCATTCTTTGTCTATGATACTAAAGGAGTGAGATGAAGTGGTGATGAATAAAGTTTTCTGGCAGCTAGGGGTTTTGTACATGTGGTAGTAGGCAATGACCATCTGTTTGTAAAATTGTACCGTAAGGACCAGCTGAGGGTTTAGTCTGCATATCACCCACATGCTGCTTGTCATACACCCTTGCTTGGCTCCTAGAATAGTCCTGATACCTCCCCAACTGATAGAATAAAGGGTTTTTTAATTCTTTATATTATGTTTGGCTCTGAGTAGAGTTCAGGAGTTCCTGGCCTTCCTGACCTACATGGCAATCATGGTGATGTCCTGAGTGATCTGCAGCTCCATGAACATAGGTAATCACCCATTACAACTACCTTTCTTTTACACAAGTTGTATCATGATTGAATTGCATCATGAATGGAAGACATAGTTCTTTTTTTTTTTGCTGCAATTAGATCATTTCTCGATCATGCAGATGGAAAGGCCCATTAAATTTGTGTATTCTGGTGTCTTCTGGATCCAAATGGATTCCAGCAGGTGATGGAGATTTCCATAACCTTCTTAGACAACTCATTTGATTCCTTGGTTTAGGTCTGGAATATAAAGATGACAGGGATGCTAGGCCAATTATTCCCAGATAGTCTCTCATTGTAAATCTTGAGTTGTTCTGGGAAATGGTTTTAAATAAGATTATTTTTGTTTTACACTGTTTCTATATTACTATTATATTTATTATTCTTAATTATATAGCACCATGATTGCACTGGAAATTGGCAATATATAAAAAGTCAGTCAGTCAGTCAGTGAGTCAGTGAGTCAGTGAGTCAGTCAACCAACCAACCAACCAACCAACCAACCAACCAACCAACCAACCAACCAACCACTTCCATGAAAAGTCATGCTGTATCCCTGAATACAAAATGAAACACTGACATAATGGCTCTCACACTAGTATTAAATCTGCCACTTCTGGATTAATTGTATAAAGTAATGCATAGCTTACTTTTCTGGGGCAGATCTTTGCCAAGGACGAACAGGTGGTACTGGAGGTGGTGGAGGTGAAGAGACTTTAAAGGCTTCAGTGCCATTGTCAGAAGTACTTTTTGTCAGTGGCCTGTATGTCTGAGTCTTTGCAACAGGATGTGCTTGAGCAGAAAATGACGGACTGAAGTTACCTAGGCAAAGACAAAGCAAAACCACAAAGGATCTAAATATTAGTACTAGACAGAGGTAGACACACAGACAGCAATGTTGTGTAGGGTTAAGGAATGGGTAGACCAGGATGTAGTTCTCCCTTAGGCATGGAAGCTGAGTGAGAGAATTTGTGTCAGTCACCCTCTTTCTCAGCTTTAGACTGAGTACATTAAAGACTCCTGTCTAGCAACTCTTACAGGACCACTGTGTTACATTATGATCCATAGCCTTCAATGAAGAGGCCTTCATCTTGAAGTGGATTGATTCAACCTAATAAACACATACACACATTGTCCATTCAAATATGGATTGAGGAAAAGGAGCCTTCCTACTATCCCCAAAAATTCTGTGGCTGAATAAAAGGAAGTATCCTGCATTATTCAATACTAGTTTTGGATAGAAGCTAGTGGCCTTAATTCAGATCTCTTTTGTCATTTTGGTATAAAATGTGACTCTCCTGGATAATGTTGATTGTACATTTAATAGGAAAATAAAGTTGCTTATATTTTTTCATTATCTTTGAAATAAGTGGTTTATAACTTGTAGTTATAACTTGCCCTCTCTTGAGCATCAGAAATCATGAAGACCAATTAGTATTAATACATGCATACTCTGTTGCTGGGGTTCATACAAATGTCCTTCTGTATCATCCTGAAATTCTAAGATTAAACCGGGGAGATCAATTCAGTATTTTTCCACATAGCGATCTCTCTTGTTGAATCAGGATTAGTATTTGAGAAAAGACTTGTAGAGCAAGTAGAACAATAGGTGAGCAAGGATATATGCTGTTGTGTCTATAACTTTTTCCCTTTTCTGTAGTTTAAAGATAGTTTGTTAAGAACAAACAGGAAAAAAAAACAAATGCACTGATGAAAAATGAAACTTGTTTGAACTATGAGATCAATTGAAATAATTAATGAAGGTCTCTAAGGTTAGCTTGGCTCTGGACTGTTACTCAAAATTCAAAAGGACACAAACTGATCTACATTTATATATTTGCTTGCAAAGCCATGCTTTATTAACATTGTTAAAAGCCTTACTTATTAGTAATAATTATTAATTTAAAATATTATTCAGGAATATCACACTGGATGAAAAATTCTTTTTTTGTGCAAACAAATACAACATACACCATAAAGTTAAAACTGAAATGACATTTGAATGTCTATGGCTATGACTTATGATAAAATGCATTTTGCATCATTCTGAATCTAGGAATAACATTCATATTTCAAATAGGCTTCATGTTATTCATAGGAAACTTAAAATGTTTTCACAATTTTTCTAATGTATTCTTACCATATTGTTCTTGCCAGTGAAATGGATGGGTCTATTTATGGTAGATTTGATTTTTTTTAGGTTACAGATTTTGTTTTGGAATCTGATGAAAATTAGAGCTTTCAATGCTCATGCTCTTTCTTCAAAGTGGGGCAGGATAATATGCTTTTATGGGTTGTGAACATCTTTTATGTTGCGCATAGAAACAAAGCAGTACCCTACAATGCTGCTACCTAGAATGCAAGATATTACGGGAAAGTTGCTGCAGGTAACATGCTTTCAGACTCTGCGGTAATCAGTTATTTTATGATGTTACTGTGCATTCAAGTGTTTTCCACTCTAACATAAAAGTTGTCCAACCAATACAAATTAATAATACATATTGGATTATTTATGAAAAGAACCATTGATATATGGAAAATAATGAAACAAAACCCAAATATAGAGGTTAAATAGATAAAATGAGTTATGAATAAAGTATGGGATTATGTTGCTGGCACTAAAAAGAAAAGACCCATTGAAAGGAAGGAGTAATTCCTACCAGTATTATATGCATATGAAGTATTATACATGTCAGTGTCATCATCTACAAAAAGAAAGACAAATGTTATAGCAGTGAAATATCTGTCAATTTATCCACAGTAAGGCAGTTTTAAACTCTCTCCTTTGATAAATGTTTATTATTTGTAGTGTTATTTATTTGTGTGATATAGCACTAGAGCTGTACTCACTCAGAATTCAATTAAGATGCCACAAACGAACTCTAACAAATATGCAGCAAGAACCTTTAATTTCTTTCCATCACTGAAGCAGCTAGTCATTTATTGCCTTGGTAAACAATAGCAATGGGAATCAAACCTTACTAATTCCAAGGAATGCAAATGAAAATTTGCTTTGTTGGATCTCTTCAGTACCCTCATATTAAGCCCTTCACTCTCTTCTTCTTGAAAAGACCACTAAGTAGGGGGTTTTCTCTAACGGGAAAAAATAGAGAACTGTGTTTAAGAGACTTACTGGATTAAAGATGCAGTACATAGACATTACATATCACGGCATCTAAGAGACTCTCAAATAATTTCTGTTGTCCAATCCAGGCAGCGAAGGAGTTACTAAGAGTTCCCATCCCCTTGGTTGGGCAGTAGGTGAGGACCTAGTTGAATGTATGAGAACTCCCTGTTATGGAACAGCCTGTTCCTAAGGCAAGAGTAGTCCTAACTCTTGTGGTTTTCCAGAAATGGTTTCTTCCAGGGGCCTTTGAGAATTGTTGATTGTTCATTGGTGCCTATATTAATCCAGTCTATAGAACAGTTAGTTCTACACTCTTTTCAATGTCATAAGACATCCAGAGTTGTGCAGGAGCAGGCAACCATGAAAATGGAAATTATAATAGTACTAATAAAAATAAAGGATCAAACACAAATAAAAATGGGAAATGTTATTTATGATTGTAATTATTATCATAATTAATTATTGGGTAGTAATGTTTCTTTTTTATGTTTTTATTAGCTATAATAATCAGCCTAACATTCCTCTGGATTGAGGTGGGATGAATCACAACAATAAATAAACAATAAAAGAAGCATCTATTAAAAATTCTAATCTGTTAGCAAGGCTACAAAAAAAGAAGAAAAAAATAGAAATTATACATACCGGGCTTATGAACCATATGAATTTGCTTAAACATTGTCTTATACCAATCCTTTGGCCTGTCAACAGTCTAAAAAGAAATTAAAATTTAAACAATTAGCAGACAATCAGTACAAAAGCCAGAGTGCTGACGAAGTAGGAAACTATTTATTTAATTATTATCAGATTTATATTGCCATCCAACTCACACATACTGTAGGTGATTCATGGCAACTTACGAATTTTTTAAAATCCACCATATAATAAACACCCATAAAATATCTCACCTACCATGTCAGCAACCACACATTCAAATCAGCCCTTTATTGGCTTCATCTTCATTTGTGGTTCTCAAGCTTCTCACTAACAAAACCACATTTTCAGGGCTTTTAGGAAAAGCAGCACAGTAGGAGCCCACTATACCTTGGGGAAAATGATGTTCCATAAATAAGGGGCCACCACTGAAAAGGCCCTTTTTTATCTCACCAGACACATATCCCTAACTGATGGAATGTATAACGTGCCCTGCCTTCCTAACGTGGAGGGCCAGAGGAATGTTTTAGAGGAGAGGTGGTCCTTCAAATAGCCTGGTCCCAAGTCATATAGGGCTTTAAAAGCACGCTGAATTGTAGCCAGATGCAGATTGGCAGCCAGTGCAGCTCCCGCAGAAGAGGTGCAAGTCTAGGATTGTGCAAAAGTATTTGAGTTTCATTCTGAATTAATTGAAGCTTCCAAATACTCTTCAAGAGCAGCCCCATATTGAGCATATTACAGTAGTCCAGACATGAGCTAAGTGGGTGATTAATAAAACATAAGCAAAGTGGTTTGTTTAGACTCTTAATGAGTCCCCCTAAATAGTTAACATGTTTTGCTTAGTTTAGTTGAAATGATGCAATATACTCATACACAAAATAAAAATATGGTGGGAAAAGATTCTGGTCAGATAAAATAAATAAGGTGTCAGTATCCATCATCAGATTCCATGAATCTGAAGACCATTACTATTATTAGGAGTTAATCTTATTCACTGATGCATGCAACTGAATTGCATTCAACTAGATTCAAATCGTTAGGCATATTTTTTGTAATAAAAGACTAGATGCTACTGTCATATTATCTGAGAGTGTAACAAGAAAAAGAGCAAGTGCCATTTGAGGGTCTAATGCAATATATATCTGACATTGAATGCTGATGATTAATCCGAAATGGTACCGTTAACAGAAGCATTTTATTCTCAATAGAGTTTTTCTTCCTTGCCTACATTTTTCTGGTAACAATCTATAATCAAGTAATCTTTTGTCAAAGTAGGAGCCTAATTTTCATTGGCCAAAAGCCCATTTTAAAAAAAACACCCAGAAAAGCTGGCTATAATATTTCAACATTACTTACATCAAAAAAATCCAGATAGACCAAGTTTACTTATTCACAAATAAAATGTTTATTTTTCATCCAGATAATCAGATGGCTGAAAACGAAGCCAATGGACTGAATTATATGATTAAAACACATACAGGTAGCCAATTGATATACAACAATTGATCCCAGAATTTATGTGGCTAAGTAAAAAATTTGTTAAGTGAGTTTTGCCCCATTTTATGACTTTTCTTGCCACAGTTGTTAAGTGAATCACTGCAGTTGTTAATTTAGTATCACAGTTGTTAAATGAATGCCTACCCCATTGACTTTGCTTGTCAGGAGGTCACAAAAGGGAATGACCCCAGGACACTGCAACCGTCATAAATATGAACCAGTTGTCAAGCATCTGAATGTAAATCATATGACCATGGCGATTCTGCAATGGTCCTAAGTGTGAAAAATGGTCAGAAATCACTTTTTTCAGTGATGTTGTAACTTTGAATGGACATAAAATGGACTGTTGTAACTATAACTGTTGTAAGTCTACCTGTACATCACCAACTATGCAGACTATGTGGACAAAATCCTTTTCTTAATAAAAATCTAGTTCAAGTAAATGTCTTTTATTCTTTTTCGGAATTAGGCAGACCCAACATTTGTATTACAAAGAACAGCATTACTCCATTAAAACTGGATAGTTTATAGAATGTATTACAATTCTAGTAATCAAATGTTGAAATTTTATATAAGACAAGATAAGAAGCTAAGCTATATATAGATTTAACTTGATTTTATTCTATTGAATGCAATATACATAAAATAGTTTTTAGTCCAAGGAATACAGAAACAGGGAAGTGGTAGAGAACATAAATCCAGAGACAGTGTCAGCAATACTGCTTTTTAAACTTATAGTAAGAAAAGCATATTATTGCTGAGGATGGTCTCAACATTAGAGTTTGGGCAACACCCAATTTTCTCCTAAACAGAGTCCATAACTGGCAACAATACACATGGGTTTTTCATATTTTCTAAATGGACATTAGTGTCATGTTCCTGTTGGAGCCTAGGTCCAAGGAGGAGGACAAGACGGAGCCATGGCCAATGGAAGAGGATGGTGCAGCCTCACTCGCCCCAGAAGAATGACCGAGGAACAGGACAAGGTAGTCCCAGGTCCCTCGGGCCTTGGAAGAATTTCCAGCTATGGAGAAAGGACACAGGACAACTGAGTGAGGGGGAAGGAGGGAGAAAGAGTAGACAGTGGAGCAGAGGAGCGACACAGAAGAACAATTCCACCCTCTATCCTCGAACATGGAGAATGGACAGGAGATGGGATCAGCACAGGGTGAACAGATGACTTGGGAAGAGAGTGTCGCACATCTCATGACAAGGCTCACCTGGAGAATAAGATTTAAAGAGAAACCATGGGGAGGAGCACTTGTCAGGAACAAGCATTGCCTTTTTCCAGCCACATTTGCTGTTACCGACATCTTGCCACTTTGCCTAGCTTTGCTTTGCCTAGTCTGGCTGTAGTCAAGTAGTCAATGACACAGCTCTGCTTCAGGTTGTGCTGCAGCCCAGTGACCCCTTGTGATGAAGACTCCCTGAAACCAGGTTTCCTGAACTCTGTCTGCTCTCAGAACTGGTTGCTCCTCTGGACTCACAGCAGCCAGGAACTAGTAGAAGTGCATGTATGCGCTTGGAGAGTTGCTCTTGGACTTACAATGAAGTAAGGGGGAGAGGGGAATTGCACCAATAAAAGGGACTTCATTCTGGCTGCGTTGCTTTTGTGCTCAGCCCCAGGTCATTACAATTATTTTCCACATAGGTGATTAAATTGTGAGCCAGTTCTTTAAAATTATGGGTAATCCAAAGGATTAGCCCATCATTTCTTATCTAGTTCCTTTCTACTGTGCTTCCTCAGGGGGGAAATTCACAGGCGGGATTTTGGAAGTGGAAAGACCTAACACAATGCTAGAGAAAGACATTCCTGTATATTCCCAGAAAGACATCTTCTCATTTGCAAGGGATGTGGTGGCTTTATGATCAGCAAGCCTGAGTTTGAGACCGAGGTACTGCATGGAAGGGTGAGTTACACCCATTCACTCCAGCTCCTGCCCACCTAACAGTTTGAAAGCGTGTAAAAATGAGAGTAGATAAATAGGTACCACTTTGATGGGAGCCCCACATGGAGACAGAAGAGGGGAGTCCCCATTAGACGTCCCCCAGAGAAGGGTGACATCACCAGCTAATACCTTTCAACCTCTGCTGCCAAATGCCTACTGTCTTAGAAGCTGTAGACTCCTAGCTTTCTGTACATCACCATACACTAAATAATAAATAATAATGCCATCCACCTTGTTTTCTCCTGCCCTGGTGCAAGACAGGAGAAAGAGCTGGTGCTTAAGAAGTACTTATCAGACTTTGGTTACCAAGCAGATTTATGACTGCATAATCTTACCATAATCTGTCTAGAACACACACAAACATTTCTAGGAAACCATATATTTAAACCAGATTAACAGATTAACAAATTAACAGAGTTGGAAGGGACTTTGTAGATCATCTAGTCCAACCCGCCAGTGGTGGGTTCTGGATCCTGTTGCTACCGGTATGGTGTAATGGGGTCCAGCGTCCACCACATGAATGCGTGCAACACGCGCATGCGTCCTTACCTCCTGCAATGCTCTGTGACACCTCTGCGACGCTCCAGTGTGCACAGAAGCCCCGAAGAGCTCAAATACTGGTAAGGAGCGCAGGCGGGTGGGTGGGCCCTCCAGAGCACCCTACCAGAACGGTACTGAGGGCGTACTGGGGCATACCGGTCGTAACCCACCACTACCCCCTGCCCAAGCAGAAGATCCTACACCATTTCTGACAAATGGCAGAACCCAACTATATCCACATCCTTATTATTTAATGCCCATAATTTTCTTGAAAGTGTATCATCTTTTCTTTGAAAGCTCATCAGGGTGAGGCAAAATTACAAACAAGAGCAAAACAACAAAAGGCTGGTGCTAGCAAGTGTAGTTTTAAGAAAACACACTTTGTAAAGTATTGTGTTTGAAAACAAACCCATCTCTTCTCTTAAACACATGATAATAGATGGCTAATCATGGTTAAAACAGTGTAATTTTCCAAAATATTGGGTGGTAATATTCAATATTTCATTGGATTGATCATTTGATTAATAAAAACAAGTAAACAAATGCAAAACCATGTACAACTAGCATCACTGTAAATGATACAACATTATCTTGTAGTATGATGTAAATATGCCATACCAATGCCTCTATTCTCTTCCTAGGAATAGATTAATCACCGCACATGATGAAAAACATACAGGGCATAATTTTATTAAATGCAAATCATGCATGCATCTGTTCTATAAAACCTACTATTAGCTGTTCTGCATATCTCACTATTTGATACTGTTCTTTAAAAATGCATTCTAATATTTTTATTTACAAAAGCTTCTACATCTGAAATGATTTATCCATACATCTACAGAACCTAATTCAACACTTTTACTATGTAATAAGAAATCTAGAAATTATATTACAATAACTATCTTTATATACACAAATTAGTTTCTATTGTACTCAGAATATATTTTAATACTCACACTGTTTTGAACCCCAAAATACAGAAATAAAATTATATGAAGTCTAGATATGAAAAATTCAAAAGACCAATGTTTTATATAGCTAGCAAGTTGGAATCTATATTTTCCAAAACAGCTTCCAAGATATAATATTTTCATACTTTGTAGTACTTTCAGTGGGCAATTAGTAACAAGTCAATAAGACAATTCTTACATTGAATTATTTTAAGTAGGATTTAATATAACTGCTAACATTTCTCAACCTATAATATTTTATTTCCATCCTCCGAAGGCTAATAGGGTGCTGGGCTGCTTAAACTCTTGGAAAGTGATCAGAATTCCTAAATGGGTAGACATTACATCTTACAAAAATATCTTTCCAAACCCTTGGCTGAAAGATACTTTTGTTCAGCAAAGGGCACAATATAGAGTAGTCAACTTTGCTACAGTACTAAAACTTCCCGTTCTTGCACCTAACTTTTACTTGATGAAGCCAAAACCTTTAATCTCATACTTTATTGCAGAAGTCAACATGCTTAAAATGTGGCTTCTTTTCATTTAGAGTTCTGTCTTTGGGCAAAGGTACAAAAGAATAAACATGTGTGATTACGAAGTGCACAGAAGTGCACTGTACTATGCTTGTCCACATGAACTGAACATATAAATTAGGCATTCAAATTATTGGAAAGTCTAGGCCAGTGATGGCTAACCTTTTTGTTGAGGCATGCCAAAAGCATGGGGGGGGGGAGCGTGGGGGGTGTCACGCATGCAGGTGCCCACACCCATAATGCAATACCCTCTCCCTGTGCACAACCCCCCTGCACATGAGCACAGGCCTCACTGAAGCCTTCGGACTTTTGGGAGGCTCGTCCTGAAGTCTGGGAAGGGCAAAAAATGGCCCCAACATGCAACCGGAAGTTCAGGAATCGACTTCCGGGTTGCCCATTGGGCTGTTTTTCTCCCTCCAGACACTTCAGGAGCTTCCTTGAAGTCTCCATGGGGGCAGGGGAGGGGGTGAAACAGCCAAACGTACAAACCGGAAGTCTGTTCCTGAACTTCTGGTTTGCGTGCTGGGCAGTTTTTCTTTCCCCTTCCTTCATGAAATCCTGCGGAGAGTAAATATGGCCAAAAATCAAGACCGAAAATTAGCTGGCCAGCACACGCATGCGTGCTGGAGCTGACAGGGCAATGCCTTGTGTGCCCTCAGAAATTGCTCCGCATGCCGCCTGTGGCACGCATGCCATAGAATCACCATTACGGGTCTAGACCAAGACTGTTGTGACATTCTGAGCTTTGCTTTACTCCACTAAGTCTACTTCGAAAAACACACGGGTATTCCTGTAACTGTTAAAATCATTAGATCAATAACATGTTGAAACAAATGCCATTATTTCAGGTGTAATAGGTTTAGTTCTTAATAAACTGGTTAGTATTTAGGGATTATAAATTTTCCTATCACTGGTACTTCTAGTGATAATGAGTCTCATGCAGTTGGGAGGAATCATGAGGCTATTTCAGCGCGAGACACCAATGTCCTAAGCATCCTCAGATATAATTTTTTTTTATACTAAATCTGAGAATCTTGGAATGAATGAAGAAAGGCTACAGGTAAATCCTCGTTAGCTGGAAAGCATAGTCATTGCAGCAACTAACAAAAACAACTTCGACGTCAATTAAGGGCCACTTTCAAAGTTACTTTTAAAACAGCAAAGAGCACTTTGTCATTCTATGAGTCATCGAGGCACATTATAAGAATGATAAAAAGTATATTAATTTCCCAGCAAAGGAGAGTATTTATCATAACTGAGCTTCAACACAATACTGCATACATATTTAATGAAAGGGTCACATAGAACATTTGATTTTAAAATGATACACTTCTATTTTCTTCTATTTTGAGTGCAATGGAATAATTCATTTAGATTGCAGCAGTTATCCATTAGCTTAGCTATTTACTTATACATTTTATCAATCCACCTTTCTTCTACCAAGCTGCACTTCGAGGTGGATATATTTCCCTAAAATAAGTTTTAAAATGGTAGATACATTAAACTTTGTTAGGTGACATATTTGTAAATAAATATAAATATCTACTGCAACTGAAACACTACTACTACTTGCATATTTACTTTATCTGAATCTTAAGGTGAATTTGTATGTATTCCATTTTTAAAACAATTTTGTAAATAGATCAAAATTGTGCACGAAATATAATTCTTTACTGTTCTTATCTGCAGTTGTTCTGAGATATAAAACATTTATTTCCAAGCACGCTTTTCCAAGAATAAGCTCTCATAAACCTAGAAGAGTGACTTCTGAACATAGAATTGAAGAGAACACAATGAAACATCTATCCAATGGGGACATTTTTCCCCCCCAAAATGCTAACCAAAATGAGATATTATTACAAATGTTAGACAACCAAGAGAATTTGATTTGAAAGATTTTAATATATAGCTAGCTGTGTGCCAAATCCATTAGATATGAATTGGAAGAATTTAATCCATGTGTCAATATAAATAGGCATTCTATATAATCAAGCCGTGGCTTCAAAAAATCATCATGATCGCCTACATATCTTTAAAGAAATCATACTTAAGGGAAGCAAGGATTTAAATCTCACCATTTTTACTTTTTAAAACATATCTCATCTTACCTGATCAAAACTTCTCCATCAATTCCTTCCCCCCTTTTGCCCGCCCCAACTTAATCTCCACTGAAGCCATTGGCAGGCAAGCTACTCCCACTCCTTCCGTAGCACAGTGTTGCTCAAAGAGTCACCTGAAATCTGCAAGGCTTTACTGCTTTCATTCCTGATCCTCCTTGTTCTTTTATCCCTTTTGTTGAGAAGATTGGCAAACTGTTCTTTCTACCAGTTGCAGCAGCTACTGCTGCTGCCTGTCCCAGACGAAAAGGGTTGCTGGAGCAGCAGCGTGGAAAAAATGCTTCAGCCTAACTGAAAACAAAACACTTCACTGTGGCATCCTAAAAGCACTCAAGCACTAACTAGTGGCAAGTGTTCAACATTGACCTGAAAATGTACTTTCCTCTCTACTTCATTCCATGTCAGCAAAGCAGAGAGCCCAGTTCTGTTCTATGCTTCCCGGCACTACAGCTAAGTCAGAGACTATTTAGTAGGAGGGTGTTTACATTCTTTCATTCATTTTATTTCTGTTCACTCATAAACGGAAGGGGTGACAGGATATATTAGAGCATCTTGATAAAAGTGGCAGTAAATGCCAAACTTTGAACAAGTTGAATAAGTTTTAAAAGAGGTTGAAAAAACGGAGCAATTTTTTCCCCTAACAATGGTGTAGTGGAGATGGCAACTAAATTAAAACAGGGCTTTCCTGGTATGCCTGTCTCTTTCCCCATAGTGACTCTGATTGCGCATATTTTAATTCATGTTATATAAAGCCAGGAAGAATGTGAGAAAGCCATAACCAACAAAACATTCATTGTATGAAGTGCACACACACAAACACACACACACACATTTCCTACCGTTCTAATTGCTGTTGGAATTCCTGATTCATCAACTGGCCCAATTCCTGCATAATGTGGTGCTTTAATGACTGTGACTTTCTTTTCTTCCTCTGAAGTCCTACAGATCGGTATGGTGGTGGTGGTCGTGCTGCTGCTGCTGTCACCGCCACCAACAGAGTGTGCATGCTGTGAGTACATCTCTGTGGATTCTACAAAGATAATAGAAGGCTGTACAACTGTAGAACTGCCCTGCTTTGCCTGCATATTCAAAAATGCATTTTCACAAGGCATACAGACACATACAGATGATCTTCTCTGTACTACTAGACGGAAAGCAGCACTAGAACGCAGCAGATCTTAGCTCTCCAGGTCTTTTGCTTCAGATGCTGGAAGGCTTCTACAAATCAGAGCAGATGATTTGGGCTGCGAATGTCAGGATGACCACCAGGTAGCAACAAAGGGATAATCTTGTGAGATATCTTGTGGCCACCCAGATTTTTGCAGCCTGAAACTGGCAACCTTAAATTCATAACACCACTGCTTTATTTAATCACAAAACACAATTGGCTGCATCCTAAATCCATAAGTCATTATTTACAAATCATAATGGTTAGACCCAGCATAAATTCTGGACAGATGGAAATTTGAATAGTAGGAAAGGGAAGACATTTTATAATTATAAAGTCCTAATAATGAAACTTTACTTTGAACAGAAATCTCAACAGGCAGAGCAGTTGCTACTAAGGGTTGTTGAAAATAGTTTACTTAATTATCACATTATTGAAATTACACATCTCCCTCACAGGGAGACTCTTGGCAAGTAAAAAATATTAAATCCCTCCCTGTGTTTCTCTCACTAATTTTTTAAAATACAAAATCAAATCTAAGTTAAGTCACATATTCTCACAGAAAATTTTCAAAATTGCAAAATAAATTTGATCAAAGGCAAAATGTCAACACTCTCATTTTACAGATGACTAAGACTAAATACTAAGACCAATCAGTATAGAAACAGCCATTGTAGTCTATTGTTAATGTTCAGATTTAATTGTACTATAATTATTCAATATTTGAAATCTGAGTTATCTTGTTGATCTACGGCAGGATCACTCATAGTTCTAAAGGAAACCCAATCTATTTATCTTATTTGAAGGATGTGATATTTAATTAATGTTTATAGTTGAACTATTAAATTAATAGTAATTCTATTAATATATGACATCAGATCTTTTGTTTATTAAAATTTGCAAACTATAAATAAGATAGCTAGGAGCATATATGGTAAGGCAGTTTAGGTTTAGCATGGATAAAATATCTAGATATCTGGGATTTTCTCCAAATATGCATAATACTAAATTTAGAGAGAGAGAAAAAGGAATGTATTTCTACAGCCCAAAAATAGCAAAAACTATGTGCCTTCATCATAAGAGCTTAAGGCATAACCAGACATAACATCAAGTGTACAAGTTCAATTAATCTATAGGCTTTTAAAAATATAAATATAATCTGCAGAGAGATAGAAAAAGCATTTTCAGAAGCCGAGGGGATAATTTAATCTTCACTTTATCATAACTGTAGCAAAAACAACAACAACTCCGAAACCTTGTTCATAACAGGAAGCTTATTTATAAACCTTTCATTACATCTGTACTATATTCTGACATACGTATATCTCTAAATATATATATATATATACATATTTCAAATGTTTCTTGCTATATTTAAAACTCTAAATTATAATGCATAAAAGGGAGGAGGAGATTAAAATACAAAAACAAACTCAAAAGGCATGAGGACCTCAAATCTAACTTCGTGAATGTTCAATGAGGTACAGCAGAATATGGATTTAGAGCAGGATTTCCCAGCCTTGGACATTTCAAGATGTGTGGACTTCAACTCCCATAATTCCCCAACTCTGGGAGTTGAAGACCACACATTTTAAAATGGCCAAGGTTGGGAAACCCTGATTTAGAGGATAAAAACTGACAGTTGAGTGGAACACCACATGGAACTGCAGCAGATGGAGCAGAAAGCGGTGGAAAAAAATGTTCTCTTTGGCCATGTTCTCATTTGTGCACTCACAACACAAGCATGCCTTTTTCACCTTTTAAAAAAAATATCAAAATATTTTCTCTTTTCTCTGACTCACATTGAAGGACAGAAATCAGGTAAATTTTGTTACCAATTGCTTTGGAAAGAAGAGAGGTGAATGACAATGATTGGGAACAATGGCAGTAAGCAAGATGGGAATTGCTAGATGTTATGCTTGTTTGGTTTGACTTAGAGATGATGGAGAACATTTTAATTTAGCAGTGGTAAATGACTCAAAGTATGAGTAAACTGGACTGTTTTGAAATATTCCCAAGAATGAAGGAATGTAAAAGTTTATGAACAAACCTGCTTTTTTTTGGTGAAAGTTCTACTGGATATCACCTAATAGTTTGCATATTTCCCAAATAATAAAAAAAGGATTTTAAAAAGAGGAAAACATCATCATTATGGTAGAGTTTGGGGATAGGGTACAGCAATCGATGGAGGGAATATTAAAAGAAATGTAATATTAAAAGGATTCAATAGAATGAAATTGCTAGACATGCAAATATGCATAGTTCATATTACAATGTTTTGTGGCATGGACTCCGTAGCTTTACTTAAACAATCTAAATATGTTGCACTTGATTTAAGTTTAGCTTTATGAAGAAATATTTAATCCAACTGAAATAATTATTTTCAACAATTAAAAAACAACAATTGGACAACAGTTGTCATACATTCATAAAGGATACATGGGCCTATAATCTTAATTTACACTGTGGTGGCATGGATACAATGTGATATATTTAAAAGTTTCACACAAGCAATATGCTTCCACTCTCACTGACCAAATTTATATATTCTTAGTTCCAAATGATCTAGATAGACTTTCTTTACAGGGAGTTTTGTAGAAAAATATTCTGGCTGCTACAAAAATATGCTGTCAAATTTTCTTGTTCAGAAGGCCAGTATTCTTAAGTCATTTGGAAGCTAAGAAAAAAGTGGCAGTGTGTGGGTTGTTTCTGCTACCATTATCAGTATGTGGGATGGTAAAATAGCAACAAAAGCTGGAACCTATTTTGAGAAAAGTGAATGATGAAGCATTGTGTGTGTGGTGGAATTCTGGTATAATTTCAGTTTACATTCTTATTAATCAGTGAATAATGCTTATGGATTTAAAGAAAGTGTCATTTTTATTTGCATTCCAAACTCACCCATAGTCCTGCTCTGTTGCAGGAGAGAGGAGCTTGAAGTGAATGAGACTGGTGGAGAGTATGCCAGAGAAGGGGAGAAAGGCCTTTGAAAGTAACTCATTGGGCTGGTTGCCAAGCTAGAATTCCCATTCACTGTTATCTGAGCCTGAGAGGAAAGAAACAAAACAAAAACAAAATCCCAAAATCATCTCTAGTCATATGCAATACACCTCTGAAGTCTGAAATCCACCATCAACATAAACGATGAAGGAGAGAATGGTAACATTCATAACAGCAGCCAGTTTTCCAGTGTTTAGCTACAATCCGTAATCATTCCTAGAATTATGGGGAAATTAGTTTGTTATATGTGGAGTCCTACTTTTTATCAAAAGCTCATGACACTTTACAGAGGAATTAGATAGATCTCTCTTTGTTTTATCTTAGAGCAAGAATTGTGCAAGAGTCTGGTATGTGGGAGACCAACTAGCCCACAGTTTCTCAATAAGTTTCTATGGCTGAGAGCAGAGTCGAACCTAGATCTTCTCAGTTTTAATATAACACCTTAATCACTGGTTACCTTAGGTTTCACAAAGGCCTCAGTTAAAATAGCATTTGAACAACTTCTTACAAAATGAAGGGGATAGTCAAAATTGTTCTCTCCATTCTCCTGAAGATCTAATTTTTGTTTTCTCTATACCTGACTCCTACTATTATTCACTTGGAGTCCTCTAACCCAAAATACCAAATCTAATAACCAAATTTCTTTCAAGTGACAAAAATCAGTAACTATTTAAATCTGTGAACAATATGTACCTTTTATAAGAATGTATACATTGTCCGCTGAATTCTTTAATATTTCTACTATTTTCTTTTGAAAGAGTACCACCCTTTTAGATATGCTTCCATTTCTTATGATTATATTGCTGCAACTTTTTCAACATTAATGGGTTGCTATTTGTTTTTTTAAAAAATCCAGACAAGCTTTGGGCCTCAACATTCTTTTAAAAAACTGGAAGAATTGAAGGAAGATTACTTTGAGTGATGTGTCACTTTGCTCTTCTCTTCATTTTTATCTGTGTGGACTGAACTTTACTATGATACATCATAAGGAGGAATTACAGCAGGTATATAGGTATTTAAATTTTCCAATGTAAATATACTTCATTGGAAGCAATTGCCTCTACTCTCGATTATTTTGGTAAATGATGGACGTTGTTCTACAAATACTAGGCTAACCTACAAACTTTCAAGGATCCATATTATGTTATGGTCTTTGGTTAATACTGTTTTAATGTATGATGGGTCATTTAAAATGTAAACTTCTGTCAATTTGAATAATTTATTTTATTAAATATAATACTGGTCATTGTCAAAAACAGGATATTGGCCATGACATCTTTCTGTTTTGTGTTTTACTATTATAATAAATTTATTTGCTGCATTGCAACATAACAGGCACAGCTTTGATCGAACCAACATATTGACTTTCTCACTTTATCCTGCATAGACTCCTGTTTAGGCACTACTTTATGCCAACCGCACAGCTGTCATTTATAAAATACACAGAACACCTGCAAGTTATAGGAATAAATGGATCCTATGCTCAAGTTGTTATTCTAATCTGGGAACAATTTTTTTAACCCACTTATTGGATATATCAGCTTTTTCTCAGTTTGATGATAGGATAAATGTGTTTATCGTCCATTTAGGATTTTTTGCTTTTAGTTAAGAATTTGAGCTTTTAGTCTCTTATCTTCCTTCATTTTAAAATACAGTATATAATAAAATAACTCACATGCACTGCAGAAATTGAATTGTAAAATTATAATTTTATTTCTCTGTCTCTTTCTCTCTCTTTGACACACACATATGCACACACACACACACACACACACACACAAGCACACTTATAACAGGGCAGGGTTAGTTTAGGGGGGAAATTTGACTTAAAATCAATTTTATGCAATCAGTGATTACACCTAATAGTTATCAAAGTGTGTATATTTGTGTTCTTCAAATATTTTAAATTCCATTGTAGGGGCATATACAGATTTCTCACTTTTTTCTCATTTGTTTGCAATTTGCCTAAATATTCTGTACATATAAGCTAGCATCATGCTGTGGACATGCTTATATTCTAAACACTATTCCTCTTTAATATGAGGGACTGAAGAATTATAAACAATAGATTTAGTGAGGATAGTTGAAGCAATTGGAGCAAGGGTGTGCTGTGGTGAAAATATGACACTGAAATGTAGACACAATGACAAACCTCTCATGCTCATTCCAGGCAGACCCCATCTGGCAAGAGGCCCAATTGATATTCCCACCTGCCCCTTCTTGCATTACCTATTGCTCCTTCTAGCCAAAGCCAATTTTCCAAACATTAATGCCCTGAAGGAGGAGGCAAGGCAAGCTGGTAATTTTTGTACCTTAAGCTGGCAAGGAAGAAAGTCGGGTATGGGAGGGAAAGAAAAACCAGGATACTTTGGTTTTTGGAGTGGGAAGAGTTCCCACCAACAGAAAACTAAACCCCACAGCTCAAAACCATAATTGCAGCAATTTTCTGAATCAGGTCCCAAACAGATTAATTATGGAAGCTAATAAGCTTAGAGTTAGAAGACAATAAAGTTATAAACTGAACATGTGCAGGTGTGCAGGTGTGCTTTAAGCTTCCATCACATTTCTGTTACAATCAAAATTCAATCTTTGCAAACTGCAAATTGGAGTGAGATAGAATACCAGTGACAGAAGGTAAGTTTATGCATTTCCCAGGTGGAAAAATACATTTGAATAGCTTTTGCAACAGTTGACATCAGGACCTATTAGCATTCCTCAGAGCACACAAGGTGGACAAAAATGTTGTTTTCGTCTTTTTTTGCCCTGAGATGTTAGGAAGATTGAGGGGGCCAAATGTGTGACTTAAACTTTCATCCCTTGGTATTGCCCCCAAATAGGAATGGTTTTATCCACTGAGGCAAAATAGGGCCTTAATACCTTTTCACACCTCCCTCAACTTCAACACACAGAAAAAATTCTGTTGAACACTTCAGTACCATCCAGTCTGGACTGCTTCACTGGCCTTCCCTTTGTAAGTTGTCAATCAAGACACAAGTACAACCTTCTAATTCTAATTGATGAGATTAAGAAACAACTGTTTTCTATTTCACTGATATTGGGGAAAAAAATCATCATTTTGGAATATTGGAATTATGTCCCTTCCGCCATATTCCTTATTGCACGGGAAAAACTGAAAATCTTTACAGAACAAGATACCACCAATGATCAGCATGCCAATTAATTAAATGAAGTGACGGACCAAAATTAGCTTCTTTTCCACCTTGACAGCACGGTTGAAAAGAATGGAAGAGAAAAAAGGAAGGATAATTACATGAGAGCTGGCAGCAGTGGAGGTTAAGGTGGTGCTATCAGACGCAGCAGACGTCTGGCTCAAGGTTGGGGAAGGTGTTTCAGAACAGTCAGTAGTATCATAGTTACAGCTCTGTAGCTCATCTAGCATGGCAGCGGAGGACTCGCTCACTGGCTGAGAGGAGAACTCACTCATGGCTGACACAATAGAGTCAGTTTCAGTCTTGTGGAGCAGAGTGTCAGGTACAAGGAAGGGGTATGTATAGGAGAACGGTGAAAGGGCTGGGGTTCTATAAATATGTGACGGCCAGAAATCATCACAGGGTGGTAAAGGAAATGATGTTGCATGGGTGCCACTGTCAGGTGAGAGAGAGGGCTGGTGAACCGGAGCCATGGGAAGAGGAGGAGGAGGTGGTGGTGGTGGTGATGAGGGAGGCAACGGTGCAGCTTCAGCTGACGTTTGTCTGTGTGTCTGGGAAGCATTTACCTCCATCACATTGGCAGTCACTTTCTGGTTTCCAAGCTGAATTTTGAGAAAAAAACAAACAATCAAAACATAAGAAAACATATTACTAAAATTGATTTTTAAAAGTGTTTTCCTTTAGTTGTGTTCAAGAGTAGATAAAAAGAAAAAAAAAGACACACACTCTGTGTGTGGCTTTTTCCAAGCTTTGAAAATAAAAATCAGATAGAAAAGAAAAAAGTTTATTTTAGAAGGAAAACATACTAAGTGAATTTGTCAAGCAGTAATAGAAGCAACGCCAGAAACTACAGTGTATTGAATAAGCATTTATATTATTTTCCTAAACTCATACTGTTCAAGGTTTTATTTAAATTAAGTTCGACTAAGCTTAATTTATCACTAAAATTAGAGGAACTTAAAAAAACATAATTGCACCTCCTTTTTAATAGAATTAAACAAGCCCCAGTTCCTAAAGGACTCCTGTATAATGGTTTCAAGGTATGAAAGCAATGGACTGTACACTAGGAGTATACAAATTACATGACATTCTTATAGACTCAATGGCAGAAAGGATCACGATACTCATCCCTTTCATGTATAGGAGAAGTTTATGCCTTGAAGAAGAAATGAGACTGTGCCATTGATAGTGGTCTCCTGACATTTCAATCTGGTTAAATGTGAGGGGAAAAAAGAGAAGCATGTACACATATATAGGTTTCTCCTCTTCAAATTCCATCTCAATAACTGGATGGAAGCAAGAAAGAGCTGCTTGAAACACTAGGGGAAAAATGAAGTCCCCTAATTTCACTCCCCCTTCAACTTGTGAAAGTTTTCACTAAATAATCAACAGAGGAATGGGTTTACTGCTTATTTAGACTACTTGGAAGGAGACAACATGGAACAAGCTATTTCCACTAGCTGAAAGTTTTCACATAGATATATTTCCCATTATTAAAATGTAAATCATTTGGAAGTATACAAATTTCCAAGAGCAAAAACCACAATTCCAAATTTCAGGCTCAACTTATACATATTACTGTAGGAGCCTAAGACTGCTGAGATCTACATGGCTTGACTCAAAATCAACTTATATTGGATACTTATATTGATATATATATGTAGGTAATATCAATATGCATGAAAGAAAAAGCTATATATGTACATAATAGAAAAATATTTCTAAAGGAAATGATTCTTTGGGAAGGAGATGGATGAGGGACCTTTTTACTTTGTCTTCTCTGAAGAAATTGCTGGGGAGGATCTATCCCTATTTAATTAGCATGTGATTACAGGGCTTACTATACATATATTTGCCTCATCAAAATAATTATACTGCACTGTGTATCTGCTTTTTATATACACTCTGTTTTGTTTAAGGAAAGTGTAGAGAATTTTAGAGGCCAATATTAAACTGGAAGGGTGCAATGTAGAATCCTAATGATCTAAGCCATGATTATAATAAAAGCCTATAATTTACATGATATAATTAAATAATATATATTATACTGGGAATGAACAAACAAACTGGCACCTTGATATTAATTTTTCATTCTCAAAGTCAGTACTAAAGAAATAGATAAAGTGGTTGGTGAAGCATCCATTGGTAGATGTCAGCAGCAATAATATGTTCGGTTATTACAGTACTTACACACTATGAATCATACATAGATAGGAAACTGCTTTTGATTTTCTGTTATAACATGTTCCCCAAATTTAGGAACTGTTAGATTGTTTCAAGAAATACAAGCTTCTATATATAATGTTTTATAAAATAAACAAATAATATTTTTGCAGAAATGGTGAATGTACAGCAAATATGTCATTTAGCATTAGCACAAATGTAGCTTCCCTCAACACCTGAAGTGGTAAAAGAGGAAATAAAGAAGACAAATGTAGCTGAGATGCCATAGTCCAGAAAGTGTGGGAAAGCTATGATGTTATAATATTACCAATAACAATTCTCCATATTCTGAAACATCTTACACTACCTATGATGGCTGGGCTGGATAGGAATTGTAGTTCAGCAATATCTAGATGGATACCGCTGTCATAGCTGGAGATGCAAGCAACAGAATGCTGGTTTGCATGATGTTCTTTAGATTAGAGGCCCCATCTTGCATAACATCACATGTACATGGTTAGATTAAACTTAGCCTTTGGTAGGACTTGCCCTCATTAGAAGAGTGCTACATAAAGCATGGGTTTAACAAAGACTATTAACTTAAACTAAATCAACTCTATCTTACTAAAATGTTATTTGGAATAAAAAACCTTGACTGATGAAAGTCAACATGGATAGTAGAGGTGAATATCTATTCCTCTCGGGAGATTAATATAACATATGGAAGAGGAAGAAGTGGTAAACCCATGAAATAATGGAAGAAATTAAAGAAAATTAAGGGAAATCAGGTAATAGATTTGAGTGGTATTCTGATCTTATGGAATGTTGAATTCATGCAGGAAGCAGAGATATAAGTTTAATTATGAATGGAAGGGCTGAAATGCATATCATAAAGTATGAATTGATATCATCTTTGTTGTTATGGATGCAATGAAATAATTTGTACAGACTGTTGTTATAGCTGCTTATCCAGTATATGTTTATAATGGAAGAACCAAATATGAATCTGTAATTATGCAGCATTCTGAATGCATATGATCCAGGAGAAAATGAATCATTAGGTGACATGAACTGATGAGTGGGAATGAGACAACAGAGGAAAAAAATTAGGAAATTCCTAAATGAATGAAAAATGTCAAGTGGGCATCTTTTATTTAAAAAGTGTTTAAAATATATGGATTATGTATACATATACTCATATGTATACACCACAAGGAATTGATATAAATTTTAAATGATTGATGTGATGCTTTAAGATGAATGACTGAAAGAAATGAAGGATACAAGGGTGATGAATTGTTTTCATTGTGAGATAGACACAAGGAAAGGAGTGAAAGGAATAGAGTGAAAGAAACAAGACTGAAACTACAGGAAGAGCAAGAAAAAGTCCTGTAAACTAGAAACAGATTAATCTTCAAACATGATGAATGGAAAATTGATATAAGGAAAGATGACCCTTGCTTTGTTTAGGGGGCTGGCCTAGAAGACCTCCAAGTCCCTTTAAGACCTCCAAATTCTATGATTTGATGAAAGATAATCTTAACTGGGCTCTTTTATTTATCCTCTTCCTAATAAACCATGTGTGATTTGAGGAGATACAGGACAGGTCTCCTGATTTGGACAAGAAAATAATAAAGTTACCCCAGCATCAATTTCTGCTATTTGTTTTGTCCCTTCAGTGCATACGAGGAACAGAGTGGAAGGAATTAAGTAATGTGTATTTGCTCATATAAACTGAAATCCTTGGAAATTCTGGCTTATTGGACTTGTGATTCGTTTACATTTACAGGCTACATGAAAAAAGCACTCAGCATATATTAATGATTTTACAATATATTTCTATACATTTCATGAGACATAAACTCAGCAGGTGGTAGCACCTAGCAGACCTTAACATTTGGAAGCTGAACAGGGCTTGATCTGACTTATGTTTGATTACAAGACCATCAAGAAATATTATACTGGAGCTATGGACTAGATCATCCAGGACACTGATCAAATATATTGAAATTAGGCAGTAATAGCTCAACTACTATATTATTTGGAATAAAACTAGCCCTGAAGTTCTCAGAAGATTTTAAAGGCTTAATAAGCCTCACATAATTTGATGGCAGTTAGAATTAGGAATTCCTTTTGTTTTTCCAATTTATCTCCTACCCTCTCTGTGAGTTGGGGACTGCAAATTTCATGCAATTTCCTTCATGCCAACTTTCCAAATGCATACTTTTTCTCCCTGAAAAAAATGTAGGTAGCTAGAAGGTAGACTTTTAGTCATCCTCTGTTTCTAATTCTGACAAAAAAGCTTCTTTTGATTAGTGTTATAAAGAGATGCTTCAACTTTCTTTGCTTGGTTTAGATTTCCACTCTTGGGGAATACAAATGACTTCCTCCAATAAACTGTTCAAAGCATTGTGAAGTTTATTATTTCTTATAGTATATACCTGCTAGGAAGTGATCAGCAAAAATAATCTGTTTGGACCATAGTAACATATAGCAAATGTAACCTGTAATTGTTTTCTGGCAATTCATCTCTTATTTATTTATTTATGAAAACTTATATTGCCACCCAACTCACTCTCAGTGACTCCTGGCAGCTTACAATATGGGTCACCTAGAGAGGAAATTACCTTTCCATGAAAATGTAAGATAATAATCACTTTAAGTCATAAGTCTTATATATAAAAAGATAGCACTCTATAAGATTACTGCTTGGGAAATTATAGACATCAAAGTCCAAAACCTAATTCAGAACATACAGAATTGATTTGGGCAGTTCTTAGAGTATTATTTCTCTAAATCTCTACATTTAAATATTTTTATCAGGCTGCCTAAGTTTTCATAAGTAATGAAATTAAGTATACCAATACAGATGGTTTACAGATATTGCGGACAATGAATCTCCAATTTTAACATAAATTCAGACTCACAGAATAGTGCAAGGTAAATAATGACACCACATTGCTGGCCTTGCTTCAAAAGAACAAGACACAAATAAGAATTTAAGATGAAGAAAGTGAACTGATTTTTGTTAATTAATGTATAGAATAAAACAGCACACAAAATCCTTCTTTTAACACACACACACAGACATGGGTAAAAATACCTTGTAAAGAGCTAATCCCAATTTTTTTAAAAGTGATTTTTTAGAATGCATGAAAATAATGAGGACAGGCTTTATTTCAGTTCAATAATGGTTGGGAGATGTTATGCTTTTTGGTAATTATGGGAAACTGCCCTATATAAATAATGTGGTGGTGACTGTTGGATATCTTGCATTCTTAATTATGTTTTTCCCCCAGAAGCTGAACTATTTTATCAGCTGAATGATACTTCCTTTATTGTACATACAAATCGAAGAGGTGTCTTCTCTATTTTATAAATCTAAATAAGCATGCCAATGATAAGTCATAAAATACCTCGAAGACTTCCATACTAATTATGGGATTTAAAAATTCCATAGGGGCAAATGAACAATGTAATTCAGGAATGCAGAAAATAAACTTACAAATGGTTGTTGCAAAAATTCTACTGCTTGTCGTAGCTCCATATGTAATATCTTTGTAGAAGAAACCACCATATCCCTCAAAATATCCCAAGCTACTAGTAATAGACAATATTTAAATGCGTTTCTCAAACAATATAGCAATTCTGTGACATCTTGTTATGACATTCCCTTCCCTAAATGTAGCTAACCAGATAAGTATCCTTCTAAAATTGTTTGTGAAGTTTAATGGCTGTCTATATGTTTCACAATGGGTGATCTGTCTCTTTTTCAACTAGCCAGACAATTCATGAGTGGTTTAGCTGCCGATTAAGTAAGAGTGGTTTTCCTTCTTGTTAATGCAATGCCCTTCTATAGGATGAGATAGATTGTTTGGAAATATTCTAGAATTCTGCATTGTCACTAAGATGACACAGAAGAGCCCCATCAACCCTGGCTAGTATGCCAAACACTACTTTAGTTGATTGTAAAAACCCTGTAATAGTGATTTTTTTAAGGAAAATGTGTTTATAACATTACAATAATTACCCAAACTATAATAAGCACAGTATTCAACCAGCAATGTTCATATTATACACATGTGTAATTGTTATATTATTATTATGAATTATACAGAATGTCCTTTTCATAAAACAATATGCACTTTTAAAAAAATCATTATTTTTTTAAACCATTCCATATTTATTTTGTCCTTAATTTATATGGCTTCCTAACTTTGTTTCCCATGTTACATATGTGATATACATTGTGCCCTACATTTTCTCCTTACATGAAGAATATAAGTGGAATTACATGTACACTGTTTTTTTGTCTTTTTTGATTCCTGCCATGAAGATGTTATCTACCAATGTCTACCAATAATTTCTACTTCAGTATCTTTGAACCAAAGCAGGATGTAAAAATATTACAGATATTTTATCACACATGAAAAGCTTAAAATTTAATAATGGCAAACTCATATGGATGAATGAGCTCGGGCACTTATTCAATTTTACTGAAATAGTGTTGAATTTATCAGACTTTGCCATGTGCCCATCCCATCAAAATGAACAGAAATTGAGAAGTTCTTAATGAATACATGCTTGATTGAGTAACACAATTGCTGAGCTTATGACTTGTAAATTGGAAAGTGGTGATTCATAATATACTGAAGTGGAGAAATACACACAAGTGATTTCAGCAATTAGTATCAAATGAAACTGTGATGAATCCTACAAATTCCTTAGGTCTTCCCATCAGTCCATTATGTATAATAAACCTTAAAATCTATTTCACTTTATGCAATAAAATTTATGCAAAGAGTGATGCAAAAAAAGAAGCCTGATTCAAAAGTGATTTTTTTCATGCTACCAATGGTGCTGGAAGTTATGTGTGCTTTACTAAGGATTATTTTTGGAGGAAAAAGAGTTTTGCAAACCTGGGCAACATTTGACAAGCACTAAAAGTAGCTCTTCTCTGGAATGAAATTCTCCAGGGCATAAAAGTAAAAATATGCCCACTTGCTTTTTTGATTAACTGTGTGAGCCTCAGAAAATGGTATTTTATTCATACAGTTTTCCAGAGATAGAGCAGCATAATGAAAATGCTCAATTTAACTTTCTGCTTAGATTAATTCCTCCTTGCTGGTTTAAACATTTCTCTGTCAGTTGGTACATCAATTTAGTTGCCTTCACTTTCCTGAACAGCTTGACTGGGATCTAAATTGACTCTCATATGGAGATAGGAACCCTTGTCAGCTGAAAGTAAAGGAGACTTTACTGAAGGTGAAGATGAAAAGTGAAAAATATAGATTAATATTAAATATGAAGAAAACAACAGTAAATGTAATCTGTAAAGAAACATAGTAGATAATCTCATGGGGGAGGGGGCTCAACAATATAGATAGAAAGCATGCTAAAGATGTAGAGATTAATTTTCTGGAGTAATGGACTAAGGAATGTAGGCAAGTTGGTGACAGTTAAATTGTAATAGAATATTAGTTACAACAATGGCCTTTTCAGTTGAAAGATATGAAATCTGGACACTTAAGAAAGAATGGGTGAAATAAAATGGAAACCTATGAATTACAACTCTGAAGTCAGGTGCTAAGAGCTGCATGAACCTCAGGAAAACCAAGTCAACCACTCTTGAACCAAAAAAACCCTGACTGCTCACTTGATATGATAATTAAATAGCAGAAACTTAAAAAATATCATGACTGGCAGACTGAAAGAAGAATAACAGAAGTCAACAGATAACATGCATGAACAGGATCAAAGAGATTACTGGAATGATCTTGGAACAGCTATGAGTTCATTTGAAGGATTATCAATACGATGAGCATTTTTCCATGCAGTCACCAGGCAGTGAGTTTGATTCAATGGTATATAACTAATTAACTATTAATCTTAAATTCCTTCATTCATGAAAATTCTTTATGTATTATTTCCATTTAGCTGTAAATTACTCTTCTGAGAAATAATAAATCTCAGAGTCAGACATTATTAAGTACACTTTAAACAGAAACTGTTAAGCAATTTTAAAATAAGAAGGGTGCCAACTATTGGATCTATAAAATGATTCTGTTTTTAATCAGTTATACTATATTGGTTAGTCTGGTATTTTCTCATTGATGCATAAATAGGAGCTGTTTAAAACTTGTGCTTCTCTGCCAAAAAACCTAACTACTGCAGCAACCTTAAGCGAAATATGCCCACATCTACTAGTGTGCTACTAACAGTTAATTCCTATTCATTCAAAATCAATACATAAAATACTATTCAGTTTGCAACCTTCCCCAGAGAACTGAAACCTTTACAGAGAAATGTCAAAAATGTATGTGTACCTGCCCTCCTCTCTTTTATCACTTCAGTGCAATAAAAGGAGAAAATTGAGTGTGTGCCCCTTTTAATAGTGCATGTACAGGACATAGACATCTTACGCAGCAAAAGTGAAGTGCTGTTCAAAATACTCCTATACGAAATATTTCTGTCAAATGTCATTGATTTTCTAGTTTAGCACAAAATCCTTCTTTTTTTTTTAATTAAAATTTTTTAATTTTTAATTTAAAACAAGAAGAAAATCCTTCTTCTTAATGAAATGCAATATTAGTGTGTCTCCTAACTTTTAAATGCAAACGACTGTGAGTGAAAGGGATAGGTGAACTTCCCATGTAGGCACAGGAGAGCAGAGCTGTCTTTCAATATTGGCACTACTGCCAATTAGTGATAATTAGAAGATTTATGATCTGTTTTGGGGTGAGTCTCCTTTCTATGGATCACAACTTTGCCTTATCCAGAATGCAGGAAAATGTTCTCTTTTTAGGACTGAAATGTTTTATGTTCTTTGTCTTTCTCCTTTCCTTGGGTTAAGATGGACTCGAAATGTATTTGGAATAATAATAATAATAATAATAATAACTAGTCGGTGGGGCCCGACTAGTAACCAATGCCAAATCCGGCGAAACAACTGGCCGCTGTGATACAATTGTATAATAATAATAATAATAATAATAATAATAATAATAATAATAATAATAATAATAATAATAATAATAATAATGATGATGCAGATTTTTCATTATTGTGACAGGTAGTTTTACCCAGGATTTGTGGTCATTGTCAGAACTATGTGAGTACGCTAAAGAGAAAAGAGTTAGGTGATACAAGAAAGAGCTAAAATTAAGAAGACAGAGAAAGAGATAAAGATAATATACCACATGGCATTGCGCAGCTGTAGCATCAGACATTTGTTGCATATTTTCTGGTGGCATCTTTGAAGGGTCTGGAGAAAATCTAGATGGATGATGTTGGCATTCAGGTGATGCTTTACAATCAGGGATGGGGGCTATCTGAATGGAGAGAGATGCTTTGTGTATCTCAGGCACGGGGTTACAGACAGGTGAGGCAGACCTCCATGGAACTGCTGAGGCACCACCAGGCTCAGGCATTTGCTGTGTATGAGAAGGAACACTGCTAGATGCATTCTGTGCCTGAGTCAATTTCAGGGTAGAAACTCTACGTTTCTGAGGCTGTTTGTAGCCTTGAGGAACAATAGTTCTAATGCCAGCTATTGTTTTTGTGCTAGAAACCGAGGCCAGTGGTTTTGTGCTTTTTTGTGTGAAAGACATTCTTGTGTTAGACTTTTTAGAATAAGCTGTCCTCTGAAGAAACTCCTTGTTAGTAGAGTATTTGCCATCAGGATATGGTTTAATTTGTTTGGTTGTTACGGAACAGGAGTTACTTCCACTCTTCTTCAGATTAGATATTCCAGATCTACCAAAACTTTTTTTCCTAGGGGGCAGGGGGGGTGCCTTATTTGCCAAAAGCATCCACACAACAAAAGAATATTACAGGAGAAAGAGACAAAGCAAAACATTAGCAAGAAAGTAAACAGAGTTGTCTTTTAAAATCTAGGCACTAATAAATGTAAAAGTTGTCATAGCAATCAGTGCTTCTTGAATCAAGCTGCAAAATACAACATTCCAGAAAACATTTTATTTTGCTAGATAGAAAATTAGCATATATTTATTGACATTTTACATATCTACCTTTAAAAATGTAACATTGAGTCGAATGTAGCTTTTACTTAATTTACTGCAGATAGGATGGCAGCAAAAGCTCTTTCTGGGTAACAACATGGATATAAAATATTTTACTTTTAGAACAAAACTACTGGCTATCAGAACTGTTAAGGCAGAGAGGAAAAATGCACATGCATTTTAGATCGCATTTTAGATAGATCATGCAAATAAAACTATTCTGGTGCAAATCTGTATGTGTGTGCATGCACATACCCCCCCCCCCAAATTATAAATTTACTGATTTACTTAATAATTCTTGTATGCTGCTCATCCTGCACCCTCTAGGCAGCTAACAATACAAATAGATAAACCACTTTCCAAACCTCAAGTACATATAAATATACATAAAAAATAACTTTCAACAAATACAAATACCATAGCCCTACAAGCCTCCTTCCTGTTAAAGAACACCCATCTCCTATATATGATGAAAGAGGTACCATATTTTTTGGAGTATAAGACGCACCTTAGCTTTTGGGGAGGAAAATAAGAAAAAAAATCTGCCTATCAGATATTCACCTGGCTAGCGTCTTTAGTCTGGTCAGCTTCAGCACATAAGTTTGCTGGTTTTGATCGCACATGCTTTTTATCCCCTGGACTATGTATTCTAAGTGAGGCCACACTGATTAACAATCACTTACAGTCATTACAAGCAATCATTATTGAGGGCCAGTAAGAAGTCTATTTGGACCAAAAAAGAGTACACTCTCCTACTTAAACTCTATCTGAGATCATCAACCAGCATGATCTATGCTATTTCTATTCTGGAAACTTGGAACAGTAACATTAGCAAATTATCTGCTCCACAGAAAAATTGAAGGGCATACTTAAATGAGAACATTCAAAGAAGATAGCCACAATTTGCAAAATAATGTGTTGCATTGGAGAGAAGTAGATTTTCCATTCCTTGAGAAATTGTTTTTGAAGCACAGAATTCATTTTGTTTGTCTCTACTCTTCCAAGCCTCACTTAAATGTGCCGGTATCCAAAGGGGTGAAAATGCTACAGTAAAAACATTGGAAGCTTTTTAAAAGCCCTAATGAAGTGCTAATGAGTGAAGCTGATCTTCCGATCTTCCAACTATCAGCTGTGCTTTAGAAGCTTTTTTTCAGCCCTAATGAGGCGCTAATGTCAGAGGGAGCAGCCATGAGAAAAGCAGACAAAGTACGAAAGATCCCTTCACTCATTAGCATCTCATTAGGGCTGAAAAAAGCCTTCAAAACAGCTACATTTGGAGTATGACGCACACAAATTTTGAGTCACTTTTTTGGAGGTAAAGTGTGTCTTGTACTCCAAAAAATACGGTAAGTCTTCCTTTTTTTTTTCTGGAAAAATAAACCTTGGAAAAATAAAGTGGGTAGAATTTCTACTAAGCAAAGTTTGATGGAGTTGAAAGAGTGAGTATGCCCACCTTAGAGGCCTGTCAGGTGACAATTCTGAAGACCCAGGACCTGCCCTGAATTGTCCCTATTTGATCTGACTGGTTTGGCAGAGAAATATGGGAGAATATGGTCTCTTAGGTACCAGGTCTGAAGATAAGTAGAACCTGAAGAATAATAACTACACCTTGAACCATATATGGAAGCCAGCTGTTAATCAATGTAACTTGTAAAGCACCTGGGTAACTTGAATATATATAGGTACATCCATTTCTATCCAGGCCACTGCATACTGAAGAAACTAAAGTTTCTAGTTGTTTTTCAAGGACAGCCCAATTATAGTGTGTTAGAATAGTGTCATGGCTTTGTCAGATCCCGGTTCAGAGGAGGAGATTGAATTGGGACTGTTGGATAAGGATGGCATGGTCCAGGGGCTGAGGCCAAGGCAGTCCCAGGACTGTCTGGCAGTGGGGGAGAGGGCACAGCTGACCAGACAGAAAGCTGCCCATAGCAGCGGATCAGCTGCAGAGGGCCAGCGGGGATGACAGGCTCCAGAACACCTCTGGCAAGGAACAGCTTCCTCCCCTGCCTGATCCGCAGGTGGGGATCACCAGCAGAGTAAAGGGAGGCAGAGAGAGGGTCAGTGAGGCTGTTTGCGAAGAAGCAGTCTCCCTTCCTCAGAAGGAAAACCTGAAGAAGAGTGTTGTAACCAGACACTGGGGAAAGGTCTGTTTGTCGTGAACACCTGTTTATTTTGATGGGTACCTTCCTGGATTTTGTGAATACTGCTTTGTGAATCTGGATCATGTTTCTCAGACAAACTTCGGACTTCACTTGTGGACTTTGGCCTTGGCTCTCTGATTTCGAACTCTTGGACTGTGCTTTGGTTTCTGGAACTCTGGACTTGCGTTGCAGACTTGTGTTGCAGAAAAATATACTCCTTAGAAAAAGAGTATATTTAACTCGAAGGACATTTCATAGCTGGATACTTTACTCCAGGAAGCAAATTTAGAGTTGGAGATAACAACAAACTGTTTATAAGTAGTATATTTTTTGTCATACAGCCAAGATGTAAATGTATGTCAGATGTATGTATGTATGCCTGAGTAATATGAGTTAGGTTAGGATAGCATCCAGGAAACATTCGTCCAAAGGAATGAATAACCCCTTCTCTGTTTCTGAAAACATAGCATTGAAAGTGGAAGTGTGACTGTATACAGCTCCCTGTTTACCTGAGTTGGTGATTTCTTTTCTTGTAGGTTTGGCCGGACACTTCGAAAGCCTTTTGCTGCAAGAGAGGAGCTGCTAGTGTCTCCATTCAGTGTCTCTCCACTTCCAATGTTAAATGATCTCCAAGCTTTTATGTGGAAAGAAATCCAAGTAAATTTATTTCTGATACAGAAATCCTTTGATAATGTAACAAGTGAATTCAGTTCTAATTTTTTTTAAAGAACAAAAAAGATCCCTTTGGATAGAAGCGGTGGCACCAATGTGAAAAATGAAAGGATATAAATACATGTGAATAAACATCATAGGACAGACTTTATTATGAAGAACAATGAGGAGGTGATGTTGGGTTCACCACCATTGTTCAGCTGAAACAAATGACTTTTTTTGTCAAGCAGCATCCATAAAACAAAATGGCATAGATGACAGTATGAATACAAAATCATCATACATGTATAATTATTTGTCCTTCCTTGCCCCTCACCACCTATGAATGTCCTGACTCTGACTTTCATAATAGTGTTTCTCAGTGGCATCTCCATAGTTCGTTTTATAACTTGACAAAGAATAAAGCCTTTATCTGGAAGTGGGAAATCCATGTTCCATTTATAATCCTGAAATCCCATCACTTGGTATTGAGGAAATCATTAGGGCTCAGTTAAAGAGATGTCAAGAGACCTATCATATACTTTAAAAGAAAGAAATTATAAGTGTTCAGGGAAAATGACAACCGTTTCATTTTTTTCTCTCCCTTATGAAGACATTTCTAAAGTGGAAAATGGAATGTTCCTACACTTTGGGCATGTTCAGACAGCTGGCTTAATGGGTTGTTGTTCAGGCTATGAGTCAGTTCAAAGTATGCCAGCCTAAATTCATAGCTCATCACTGTTCAACCTCATTAACAATGGCAGTGAATGGACTTTTTCTTAAGAGTGTTCTGTGGAAAAAAGATAAGGTGCTAAATGTCCTTACCAACAAAAATTAATCACTTTTCTAATGGAGAATGGGAATAAGACAGATGGCTAGATAAGTAGATTTAATCATCTAGGACAGTGGTTCCCAAACTTGGCAACTTTAAGACTTGTGGACTTTAACTCTCCAGTCGCAGAGCTGGCTGGAGAATTCTGGGAGTTGAAGTCCACAAGTCTTAAAGTTGCCAAGTTTGGGAACCACTGATCTAGGACAACCTGATCTAAGGTAGGTTGGGGCTTTCCTAGGAGAACATGATCTAAGGTAGGTTGGGGCTTTCCATTTCAATTGATGTGACCCATCCTGTGAATTATCTGCAATGGCTGATCTACAATGGTGATACAATTAAAGCCTTCTAATGGGGGGGGGGGTGTCTCTGTAAAACAGGAAAGATTTTATTTTCCTGTTTTAGTAGAAATTACCAGCTTCCCACCTGGCATGGAGTACCTGTAACACCTGATACAGAGAGGTGGGTGATAGAAGTTTGGACATCACTCTATTTCAGTGTTTCTTGGCAACTTTAAGGTGGCTTGGAGCCTGGCTGGGGAATTTTGGGAGTAAAGTCCACCCTTCTTAAAGTTGTCACGGTTGAGAAACATTACTCTACACTGCCATAAATCAGATGGTTCAAATCATCCACAGGGTGGGGTGGAGTTGATGAGCAAGATGCTTGGAAGACTGCTTCTAGTGATGGCGGCTCAATGTTAACTCAATGTCCTTGCCATGTGCCAAAAAAGCAAGAGGTTTGGGGTAATGAAGGCATACTTTCCCCACCAGAAAAAAACATAATGACATGTAAAAGCAAGTTTCTCAGCCTTTCTTGTCATCATCATGATTGCCATCAAACTGCCACAAACACTTTGTATGTATCTCAGGCTTGGGTCACAAGATGGGAAACAACAATTCCACACTGGAATGGGGCAGCCCTTGAAGAGCATTCGGAGACTTCAGCTTGTCCAGAATGCAGCCGTGCGAGTGATTGTGGGTGCACCTCGGT